TTTCTTGATCAACTGGCTGTACAAACATTTATCGATGCCGTTCGTGATGGAGATGCCCAGCAGGCTTTGAGACTGGCTAGGCACGACAAAATTGAGAAAGCTTTGGCCCATGCGTTAGAATTCGAAGCCGCCAAGAAAGCTAGTCATGGAAGTGCGCGAGTACGTATGGTGGAACCTCGCAGTGAGAGCCGGGTAAGAACCATCGAAGAGGAAGGTGGCTCTGAAAGTTTTGAAGAAAAGGTCAGTAAAGTAGTGGAAGAAAAGGTCAGTAAAGTAGTGGAAGAAAAGGTCAATAATGCAATACAGTCACTGCCAAAGACCATTGCAGCAGTCGGAAAACTAAGAAAGGTCGACAGGAAGGGGCTATCGTCGACCTGCAGAAACAAAGCCCCGATCTTCACTGTAAACATTTCGTCGTCTGGAAAAGTTCTGAGTTTGTACATCGACGGCCGAGTTAATGGAGAAGACAGATCCTTGCTAGTAGACACAGGTGCAACAAGAACTATTGCAAGACCAGAGTTATTGAAGAATCATTCTCGGATCTCATCTTCGACCGTGCAGTTAAAAACAGCAACTGGTGAAAGAATAAAAACGCACGGAGAAATACAAATGTCTGTCACCATCGGAAAGACCACCATCAATCACCAGGTGCTAATTGCTGATATTTCTGATCAATTCATCTTGGGGATGGATCTTCTTAAGAAACTCGGAGCTGTGTTAGACGTGAAAAAGGGCGTGTTAAAGGTCGGCGATGAAGAACTCCCTTTCCATGAAGACAAAGAAGATGTCATCCGCCTGTTAACCACTCATGACGTCATTATACCCGGACTTAGTGAAAAAATTATAATGACCACTTTAGATGGATATTGTCGCCAGGGAAGCCTACGGATAGTCGAAGCACTAAACGAAAAGGAATTTCTAGTGGCTAGGGCTCTGGTAAAAGTTCAAAATGCGTTCCGATTCGAATTATGAATTTGAAAGATAGTCCTGTTAAGCTAAGCAAACGAACTGCAGTTGGACAGTGTGTGCCCATCTCGGCTATTCGCTCTGTGAGATCGGAAAATCTATCTAAAGGAAAGTATCCAAGAGAGCTGATAGATATGGTCATTAAAAACACCCCAGATTTGGACAATAGACAACGACAAAAGGTGAAAAATATGCTTGTGGAATTTCGGGATGTGTTCGCGGTAAACGACCAGGACAAGGGAAAGACAAGCATAGTACCCATAAAATAAATACTGGCAATTCCCAACCGATTAGACAACAGCCAAGGCGACTCCCATTGGCTAAACGAGACGAAGCGGAAGAGATTATTAGAGACATGAGAAAACAAGGTGTCATCGAGCCATCGAATAGTCCTTGGTCATCACCGATAGTGCTTGTAAAGAAGAAGGATGGCTCCACAAGATTTTGCGTTGACTACCGTCTATTAAATTCGGTCACCAAGAAAGATAGCTATCCACTGCCAAGAATAGACGACACCTTGGACACTCTATCTGGAGCCCAATGGTTTTCCACACTCGACCTAAAGAGTGGTTATTGGCAAGTGGGGATGGAATCGACAGACCGAGAGAAGACCGCGTTTTCTATAGGCTCTGGACTTTGGCAATTCACAGTAATGCCTTTCGGATTGTGTAATGCCCCCGCGACGTTTGACTCATGGAAGCAGTTCTAAGGGGACTAACGTGGCAGACATGTCTGGTATATTTGGATGATGTAATTGTCGTAGGAAAAACTTTTGAAGAACACCTAAAGAACCTGAGAGAGGTGTTTGGACGATTACGAGAGGCCAATTTAAAACTAAGTCCCAAGAAATGCTTTATGTTCCAAAAAGAAGTTAAATATTTGGGGCACATCGTATCTCGTGATGGTGTTACAGCTGACCCAGAGAAGATTATAGCGATTCAAGAGTGGCCGATTCCTGAGAACAAGCACGAGATTCGAAGTTTCCTCGGTTTGTGCACCTATTATAGACGATTCGTGAAAGGATTTGCCAACATTGCCAAACCATTAATAAAGTTGACAGAAGAGGGCAATGAGTACGAATGGAGTGAAGACTGTCAAAGAGCTTTCGAACATCTCCGGCAAGCTCTTACGAGCGCACCTATCCTTGGCTACCCCAGAAATGAAGGAAAGTTTGTGCTAGATACCGATGCCAGTAACACCGCCATTGGAGCTGTTCTCTCTCAATTGCAAGACGGACAGGAAAGAGTCATTGCCTATTTCAGCAAAGTACTGTCGAAACCCGAGAGGAATTATTGTGTGACTAGGCGAGAGCTCCTGGGTGTGGTAAAGGCATGCGAACATTTCCATAAGTACCTTTACGGCCGCAAGTTCCTGATAAGGACAGATCATGCAGCGCTAAAGTGGCTCTTGCAGTTCCGAAACCCAGAAGGACAGGTGGCAAGATGGTTAGAACGTCTTCAGGAATATGACTACGACATTGAACACAGGGCTGGAAAAGTTCACAATAATGCAGACGCTTTGTCAAGAAGACCGTGCAAGGACAACTGCACACATTGTTCTAAAATAGAAGACAAGATTGGCCATCTGCGACGAACAACTGTAGAGAGTGAGGAATGGAAGCCAAGCGAAATCAAAACGGCCCAAGAAAACGACCCAAGTATAAAAACTGTTCTGAATTGGATGCGCCACGGACAAAGACCAGGCTGGCAAGACATTAGTGCCACAAGTCCTGAAGTAAAGAGTTATTGGGGCCAATGGAATAGCCTGACTCTGAAAGACAACCTGTTGTATAGGACCCTTGAAAGTGAAGATGGCACCGAATCGACGCTGCAATTAGTAGTACCTAGAAGCAAAGTGTCGGAAGTATTGCGAAAATTGCATGACGGCGCTTCCGGAGGACACTTTGGTATTACGAAAACGTTGCAAAGGGTACGTGAGCGATTCTATTGGGTCAACCGTAAAGAAGATGTCCGGCGATGGTGTCAAAAATGTGAGTTATGTGCTACTGGAAACGGACCAGTTTCCAAGAAGAAGGCACCCATGAGGCAGTATAACGTTGGTAGTCCGATGGAACGAGTTGCTATCGATATCGCAGGACCGTTTCCCGAGACAGATGGCGGAAATAAATATATCCTAGTCGCTATGGATTATTTCACAAAGTGGACTGAAGCTTACGCCATTCCAAACCAAGAGGCAGCAACAGTTGCAGAAGTGTTGGTAAAGGAGTTCTTTACACGTTTTGGTGTTCCTATAGAAATCCATTCAGACCAAGGAAGGAACTTTGAATCGGCTTTGTTCCAAGATGTTTGTCGACTGGTAGGAGCCAATAAAACCAGAACAACACCTTTGCATCCTCAGTCAGATGGAATGGTGGAGAGAATGAATCGAACGATGGGTAAATATCTTTCAAAAGTCGTGGCAGAACATCAGAAAAATTGGGACCAGTACCTCCACCTGTTCCTTATGGCATATCGATCAGCCGTCAACGAGACCACGGGTCAGACTCCTGCCTGCCTTATGTTGGGTCGTGAACTACGCCTTCCATGTGACCTCGAGTTTGGGCGTAAACCCCATGAAGAATATGTCGCAGGTGAAAATTATGTTGACCAACTAAAGGCGAAGATGAACGACATTCACGACTTGGCTAGAAGTCATATTCAGATTGCCAGCGATCGCATGAAAAATCAATACAACCTCCGCTCGGCCAATGAAACTTTTGAAGCTGGAGATCTGGTATGGCTGCACAATCCACAGAGACGAAGAGGTCTTTCTCCCAAGCTACAAAGACAATGGGAAGGTCCGTATGAGGTGATCAAGAAAATAAATGACGTGATATATCGTATCAGAATGAACCACCGGAAACCGAAAGTTGTCCACATTAATCGACTCGCACGATATGCCGGATCCAACAACAACGAAGAAGTTAGAGGTATTCGAGAAGAGGAACGCAGCTTTGGGATCGAGCCAAACTTTAACGATTTTATGTCAAATTACGCCCAGCGGAAGAAAGCTCGATTTGGCGTTACTCAGGAAATTTGTCAAAATATTTTTGAGCTTCCGGTTAACGTTTCCATCGCCCATTGTGTCGCCGAAGACCTTCGCATGGGTAGAGGTATAGCTTCCGTATTCCGGAAAAGATTTGGAAGAATAGACGAGTTGATAAAGCGAAGACCACGAGTGGGTAAAGTACTGCGCTTGGAAGATAGTCAACGCTCTTTGTTCTCCTTGGTTTCGAAGAAAACGTCAGAAGGCAAACCCACCTATGAAAACCTCTGGTCTGCTTTAAAAACCTTAAAGAAACTCATGGCATACTATGACATAAATAGCTTGGCGATCCCGAAGATTGGATGTGGTTTAGATGGGTTGGACTGGAAGATAGTGCGAACCATGATCGAAGTGATTTTTAGAAACACTAGCGTTCGAATTACAGTATGCTGCTTCAACCCACAGGGGACGACCCTCCGCAAAACTGTGGACTGTTACTTTTTCAAGAAAGGTGTTTGTCGAGCAGGCTCTGACTGCAGATTCCGACACGAGGCATTAAAAAGTAATACTAACGCAGTTTCTGAACGAGACGTCCAGAATTAAGAAGGGGGCAGTGTAACGGAAATGCTCCAGACATGACGTCGCCTTTGGCGCTCTGGAATTTTCTACGCGTATTCGAGAATGTTCGGGACTTACATTGCTTGCGTGTATAAATGGTTGCGGACCGAACATCGCGGGGTCTACTACCGAACGAGTACGTAAACATCGAGCACGGAAAGATAAATTGCGAAGTGTGAGTGATATAAATAATCGATATAAATTTGTGAGTGATATAAATAATCGATATAAATTGTACGGATTTTATAGTGTTTTAGTTCTGTTTAATAAATATTGATATAAATCGAACCCGAATTTATAAAACACGTTACAATATAAATGAGAAATGACGTCAGAAAAGAAATAACGGAAATGAGAGAAGAGTTCAAAAGGAAATGCAGGAACTGAAGAGGTAAAATTAAGAGAACGAAGAAAAGTGGAACAAAGAAAAGCGAGAACTAGCGGAGAGAATAGAAAAAAGTAGAATGGAGACTGGAAAAAGAGGAAAGAATGAAGAAAAAAAATAACGTTATAATTAAAGGAGAAGGAGTAAATAATATTAAGGAAAGCGACGCAATAAGTTTACTAAGAAATGAATTAAAAATAAATATTTCTACTACAGAAGCCCGTACAATACAAAATAGAGAACGAAAAATAGGGATTCTAATAAAATGTACAAATTGGGAGGAAAAAATGGAATCATGAGGAACAGACAAGCCCTAAGAGATAAAAAGGTATATATCGATTACGACCTGGCGTTTACAGAAAGGGAAGTGCAAAAGAGGACCTGAGAAAGGATGGAGGAAGAAAAAGAAAAAGGCAATACAACAAAAATGGGATATATGAAGTTCATGATAAATGATACATAGTTCGAGTGAGACGAAAGAGATGGTAATTTAACGACAAAAAACTAAGCAAGCAGACACAATCGGAGTCGGGGGGAAGATCACACAAATAATTAACAATGGAACAACAGGTGACAACAAAAACAAACAAAAAAAGGATGGAAAAAAAGAAACACTTAAAACATTTTCAAGTAGATCAAAGAATAGAATCCGATCACCAACCAATATCCACAACGGTGAAAGGCAGTGCTGACACAATACAGAAAACAAACAAAAGAAATTACAAAAACGAGACAAATCTGAACAGAACAAACAATAGAAAAATACAGAAAACATCTAAAGCAGATAGAATTCATAGAAACTGAATGGGATGCTGCACTAGAAGAAGGCAATAACTAAAGCGGTGACAGAAACAACATAAAAAATAAACAACTGGACACCAGGAAGAAGCAAGTGGTGAGACACAGACTGTAAAGAGAATAAACAAATTACAAAAAAAGCCTTAATGGATTGGAAAACAGGAAAAGACACAGGCGAAGAGTACAGAACAAAGAAGAAAGAATATAAGGATACATGCAAACGCAAAAAAGAAGAATTACAAAAAGAGGAAATAAGAGAAATACAAAGCATCAAAAACGAAAATGAAGTGTGGAAATTTATAAACAAACGAAGGAAAAATAAAAAAGTAATACCGGACGACATTGGAGAAGAAGGGAAAAACTACTTTATACAAAGTTTAAACGGACAGATAAGCTTCAGAGGGGAAAAAACTAAAAGAAGAAGTGAAAGGGAGGATGAAGAAATAGGGGAAGAAGAAATGGAAGCAGAAATAGCAAAGATGAAAAAAAAGAAAGCTCCCGGACATGATAATACATCCGCCGGAAAACATGAAACAGCAAATCAGAAAATTATTAACACGGTATGGTGAGGAGGAGGATTTCCGGAAAGTTGGAAAGAAGGAGAAATATGCCCAATATACAAAAAAGGAAACAAAAGATGACATCAAAAACTATAGGGGAATCACTCCCAAACTCAACATATAAATTTTACGCTAAAATACTAAAGCGGTTAAACGAAGAAGTAGAGGACAAAGAAATACTGGATGAAACACAAATGGGCTTTAGGAAAGGAAGGGGGACGACAGATAACATGTACAGTTAGAACTGGAAAAGAAAGGGGGTAAAGACTAAGCCCTATTCATAGATCTAAAAGCAGCATTCGATAATCTACACATGGAAGGAATTATAATAAGAGCTTGGAAAAGAAAAATATCGACAACAACACAATAGAAAGGATTAAAGAAGTCTATAGAGAAACAAAGAGTAAAGTTTAAGTCAATAACAAACACACAGACTATTTTTGGACGGAAAATGGAGTCAGGCAAGGATGTCCGATAAGTGCAACCCTTTTCAACATTTATCTGACAAACCTGGAAGAAGCATTAAGAAAATGGCAAGCAGGAGGAAATTGGAGGACAAAAGATATGGTTATTAACAGACGCGGACGACATGGTGGTCCTTGCAATAAAGCAATCAGAAATTAAGGAAATGATCACACAGTTAGAAAGGTACGCAAGAAGAAAGAAATTCATAATAAAGACAGAAAAATCAAAAATAATGGTTTTTAGAAAAGGAAGAAAGAAGAATAAGGACGAGACATCGTGGAAAATCGAAGGAAGAGAAATAGAAGTTTCGGAATTAAAATACCTTGGGTACACACTAATGAAAAACCAAGTGCTGACAAAAGACAAATAAAGAGAAAAGCAAATGGATAAATACCGCAAAAAGAAAATTAAAAAACAACTATAGAATCAAGAAAATGATGTTCGACTACCTGATCAAAAGTGCAGTGATGTACGGGGCAGAAATATGGGGGTGGAAGGAGATAGAGGACATCGAGCGGATACAAAACAAGTACCTAAAATGGATCCTAGGATTGGCCAGAGATACTCCAACTTATATACTTCTGGAAGAAACCAAACAAGATAAGATGAAGATAGAAGCGGGATATAGAGCAGTTAAATACGAAGAAAGGATCAGAAAACGGGTTACTAAAAGAAACTCTCAATGAAAGAAAGAAGACCAAAAAAGCAAAGTGGACAGAAGAAAGAAGAAGATATTTCCAAAGGAATGGGTATGCAGAAGATGAGGCGGAATGATTAAGGAGAGAGGGAGTAAATATACCAATGATTATGAAGGAGAGAGATAAAGACAACCAATTACAATACCAAATCAATCGAATAGAAAACAGCACCTGCAATACCACGTACGAAGAAATAAAAACATTACACTTGCCAAAATATCTACAGAAGAACAACAAAAATATAAAAACCATTGCAAGATTTAGATGCGGAAATGAAAACAGGACCGCGAAAAGATGGAAGGAAGAAAAGTGCAGACTATGTAAGGAAGCAACAGAGACGATAGAACACGTGATATACAGATGCAGCAAAACCAAGACGAGCAAAACAGTAAAGGAAAAATTACAGGAAGATGGAAGAGGAACCGACTGGATGAGAAGGACGTTGAAGAGAAGAGAGGAAGCGAAACGAGATGAATAAGAATGTACATTATTTAGCTAGTTCTGATGTTGGATTAAAATGCAATAGAAAGTTTATTTGTTTATATCGAAACTTACTTAGTACAATGTACATACCTAAGAGTCCCCGAAGTCGAAAGGCTAGGGTTAATAATTAATAATAATATAATAACGTCGTCGGATTTAGGTACCACGATGACAGGTGGTTCTAGCAATAGGCGCTACAGTTCCCCGAAGGAATTTTTACACGATCGGGCACTGCCGCTCTGATAACAGCGCAGTAACCGAAGCAGTAACTCATGGGGATTGGAGTGGGAAAGGACGCCTTGAACACCAAAGCAACCAAGGAGGTCTGCACACACTTTACCGTCTCGGTACTCGTAAGATGTGCGTGTTCTCGGAAAAGTTGGGATTCGACCCCTAAAGATGTTTTCAATACGTGATATAAGGATTCTAGCACTATCGGTCGATATCAGTTTCTTTCGATTTACGTTGGAGGACCTCAAATGAAATTTAAATAGGGCGCCAATTGAAAAGAATATAAGCCTAAATACAAGCAGAGTAATGGAAATGATCACATACCCTGTCAGGCCAAAGTTTGGGCTGGTATTCGTCGCCATAAGTACCGCCTCCTCGGTTTCCGAAAAGCAGCACCCCATGAAGACACCACAGTCCGCACCTTTCATCTCGTTCACGTTGTAACCGGCATCAACGATCGCCTCGTACGCCTTCTCCAAGGAAATCTTGATCATGGGATCCATCTGGTTGGCTTCGTGGTAATGCAAATCTGCAACACTCACGATGAGACCTACGCCCAGCCACGGGTCGATGCCATACCAAATTGACCAGCGTCCAGCTTCTCGAGATGATTAATTTTACCAATACGATGGGGTATCTCGGGGTTGGTCGGTAACCAGCGCCCATGATCACTTGTGACCATATCAACTTTGTTATAGATGTTGCTCCTGTACTGGTATACGTCGTCCGAGTTGGGAAAACGTCCAGACACCCCTTTTCGTTAAACACCATCAGCCCGATCACCATCTCACCTCACTTACCTGTAATGACGACCTCCTCGCCTTCCAAGGGATGGGCGAGTGCGACTCCTCCGTTTTTTTCCACAGCCATTTTCGGCACAATTGATAAGGGTGAAATAAACCGAACGGATCGAAGCTGCCTTTTAAATGCAAAGCATGAAAATTATGCAAAAGGCTAAATGGCAATGAAGTTAAAATAAGCGAACGTATTAACCTTTAACCACCATTGTCTGTACACAACAATGTTAATAGTGGCAATTTTAGAATTCAGTTCGACTACAGCTTTGAATCTCATCCTTAACATCCTGCAATTTCTCGCCTTACATCTACAGGCGATCGCTTGACGGCCCGAATCAACACACTCTGTAGCGCCTGTTCTTAGTTCCACTGTCATCTTGTTATTTAAATTCCCCGACGTCATAAGGTCAGCCGAAGAGACAAAGACAACACTCATGAAAGCCCTAGATCCTAAAGCCTAAGGCCGGTCTCACCTACAAGTTGAAAAACAAAGCCCTTCCTAGACTTTCCATTCGAAGCAGGTTAAAGAGGCCATCCTCTCCCAGAACTTCGGTTCTGCTTCCGAGGAAGTCCTTTTCTTGGGGAACCAAGAGTACGTGTTACTGGATACTTGAGTGCGACGGTGCTGTACGCAAGCATCTCTTGGCTAGCAGTGGTGTAAACGTCGGGTGGAATGCCTGCGGTATACAAGACCATATTCGGATCGTGCGGTGCTTCAACTGCCAAAAATTCGGTCATAACTCTTCCGACTGCCGTAGTGAACTTCAATTATATCACTGCGCAGGTAGTGATGACAGCTAGGTCTGCCGGAAGCTCCGGCAGAGGTTCTTCTGCGCATGCAATTGCATGCGGCTAGGACTCAGTCAAGTCGCTGCTTTGGCACTCCCCGACGCGGCGACGGACGCACGAGGTGCCTTAGTTGAAAACTTCATTCCGGGACGTGAGCTATGTGTTGTCAACCCGCACACCTTTTCGAACCGCGTGGGTTCAGGTAACATCGACGTGTTCCTCGACTCGTTTCCCTTGACGCGCAAGATGGAAGCCTGGGAATGCCTGGTGGACGTTGTGGAGCGTGAGCACCGACTGATACGATTCGATTTAACCGTCGATATTTCATTTCTTTACCTACGATCCCTGATTTTAACGCGTATTGCTCGAGCATAATTCCTGTGTACGGTCCCCGCTGACATGAGTTGGTCCATCATACGAGCCAAATATGCCTTACTGCTCGAGCCGGTGTAACATTCTGGTGCTGTAAAAGACTGCATGCGTCTAAAAACCCTTGAGAACTGGTATACAGAAAACCTGAAGTCTCCTAAAGATCGTGAAAACGCAACTTTTTTTCCGGAAATACTGACAATACCCTCCTCTAGAAACAAGCGGAACGATTTTTTTAAAAACGATAGTTGACCTATCTCAAATTAGGTACATAAACACATAAACTGTAATAATTTAGGACGTGGGGCATAAATAGAATTCGGTTTTGAGACTAAAGCAATAAAGGCGAAAAATTTACGCAGTTGTTCTTAATTGATATTTAATGTGTAAAGTAAGCGCTCGGAGGCGGTTTCATTGTAGAGTAAGGGAGTGCAATTCAAGGCTTCCAGTTAGAAAAGGTGCAATATTGTTGACGCCGATTGAGTAGAAATGCGCAGTTTAGTTAAATATATTTCGTGCGAAACTTCGCTACAAGGTAAATTCTTTTCAATTAACATTAATTAATTGAATAAGAGATATATAATTAAAATTAAGCTAATCGGAGTTACGCGACAGGAGGTCAATTATTTGCCATTGAGTTTAAGTTGCCAAAACTGCTAACGTAATTTATATCAAATTTCACTGGAGCGATTTTGCTTGCTTGCTTCTCGAAGAACCCTAATACGGTTAAGGGATAATTTGGAACGCGTGACATCTGGTTATATTGTCTGACAGGCTGCCTTTATAAATAATTGGGGAAGTATCGGTGGGACATTTGGAAAGAGAAATACAACTGAACCACTACTCTTTATTAATTGTTGATTATTTTGTTGATATAGTCAGCAACCACGGGATTCTGCACGATGGTCGTGTGAGTCCCTTCGACCGTATGAACTCGAACAGGTTTCTCGCACAACTTCTGCAGTTGGTAGTCCTTTTCGTAGTTTACGAGGGACGATTCGTTCGGCTTGATGAGTGTCACCTCCGACTTCAGCTTGGGAAACTTCACCTCGTAATTGTATGCAGCTTTCGCTCTCGCGCAGGCGGCGATGGACACCTGCTTTTGGTACTCTTTCGAGTACGGAATGATTTCGGGTGTCATTTCGAGTATGTACTCGACGCGTTCCTCCAAGGTGCGCAACTTGCGGACTGTTTTCTAAGAAAAGTCAATGAAATGGTGCGTGGACCGAGGAAAAGCTTACCCGATGCGCTACTGTTGCCCCCAACGGTACATATGGGGTGATTAGGCTAAATAGTGCGGCGGTCTCCAAGGAGGCCTCCACTTCATCTTCCGGCGGTAACTGCATCTTTATGAGATCCTTTAGCATTTCCGGTGCACCGTCGATTAAAATTATTTTTCCGATCAGTCCACGGATTTCCAAGATGGAAGCGAGCTCCAACGCGACAACACAACCATACGAATATGCTACAAGGTTGAAGTGATTTTCCACGTGGGGTATTAGCTATACAATCCGATTTGTAGGCAGGAATGGTAGAAATACGTAATTACCTCTGGAAGTGATTGAACGAAAGCCTCCAAGTCGCTGGCGTTATTTGCGTACTGGACACACTCCACATGAGCCTTTAATTTGTTAGCCAAGGACCCCATGGATTCGGCCACTCCTTCAATTCCCGGCAGAAAGATCGCCAATGGCGCCTCATCTTCTTTCTTAGCTAAACTTTCCAGTTGTTTTAATGGTATTTTGGATTCCTCCTCCGTGCGGAAGTGGGCGAAGAAGATGTTATCGCGTGGGGGTAGGCTTGGTGCTGCGGGGTCGGATGCTTCTTTGGATAACCGCTCTTTTAGTTTGGCGAAGGTGATGTTTCGGATTTCTTTAATGCTTAGGAGGACTTCACAGTCGCGTTCGAGGGTCTGCTTTACTTCAACCGCGGTCATGGAGTTCATGCCCATTTCGGATAAGTTGGCATGCTCGCTGATCGTCTTCAAATCGGTTATTCCTAAACAAAGCAAGGGAGTTGATGGTGGTACTGGACGTAAACATACCCATGATGCTTTTGATCGCGCTGATGACATTTTCTGCGCCTTCGGTGACGCCCTTTTTCTCCACCACTACCATACTTGCCACGATGGGCTCGTCTTGCATGAGGAAGGTTTCCAAGGTGCTCAGACAGGACGAGACACGCTGTTATCCAACGTTGAGAACCATTTAGTGCCGATAAGAGTATCTAAAGTGTCATCGATTTTTGGTGACGGGTAATCGTCCTTGGTAACGCTATTCAGTTGATAATATACGTAAAATGTTTCTTTCTTACCAACGCCACAGGTGACGCTCATGGACTAGTATACGATTAAGTGATGCCTTGTTGCGCCATATCTTCTATGATCTTCTCAGATTGTTACCGTTTAATCCGGGTTTTGCTTTATCGACTCTAGTGTTAATCTTATGAGTTTACCCATTAGCCTTATTTTTTTTCAGGAAAACGCCTTGATAGCTGTGTATTAGCTTTTATATCATGGTTTTTTTCAAAGCATCTAGATTCGGGGTGGCTACCGGTGGTTTCCACTCGTCGAACTAACGAAAATACCGGTTCACACGTTCCTAATCCTAATCCTTCCTTCAGCGATACTGTTAAATGATTTACATATATAAGTCTAATCAGGGGGTCCACCAACAATGAACAACTTTTTCCCATGAGCGCTCCATCTACATGTAAACTGTCTCTTTGGTGTTTTAAAAAGGCAATACGAAAGGTAGTACGCGGGGAATTATTACTGCTAGTCGACTTTTGCCCCTCTCTAGTTTTCCCTGGTTGTTGCTACTGATCTCTGCAGACTCTCCTAAGATGCCCAGCTTGTCGCATACCCACTATGTACTCCTTCTTGGATAAACGCCGATCAAGATGGTATACTCTTTCTGTTTTTTTTCGAGCCAGTTCAGTGGATTCACCTTCTTGGTGCTGGTTTCGCACACGATGTGTACCATGTGACACCTTCTGTGTTGCTTCCAATTCCAACGCGTGAGCAAGGGCCTTCTCGATACCTTGTTAACCTTAAAGCTTGCTGAGCAATCTTTGAACTTTGGCCGGCGACCAACCTTGGGACTTTGAACGGCGATCAACGCTGTTCGTAGTAGCAAATTGGTCGGGGAGCCGTCAAATACTCAAGTAGCTTTGCTTAGGTGCTTTTGATCCTTAGAGAAGTATCTCTTAAGGAATGCCCTAAGACACTCACTACAGACTCTGTTGCTACTTGATTCTTCAGGAGTTCATCAGGTATGCTTAAGGGACTATTCAAAGATTTTTTAAAGATTACAGAATTAGCAAGCTCTCTTTCTGGATATTCGGACCTCTCTAAAATTTCAGTACTTACGTTTAAAAGCCTGGAATATCTGAAATGTCCTACAGATCAATGAAATCGCAACGTTTTTGTTTTTTCTGAAATATTGACTATACGCCCCTCTAGCAACAAACGGAACGAATTTTGTTTAAAATTGTAGTACAGTTATCTTAAATTTGGTTTATAGTGTAGGGAGACAAGGATAATAACGCTAATAATCATACCACTCACCTTCACCCTGGATTCCACGTTGTGTTTCCAGTATTTAAGTTACAGTTTCAGAGGTCGACGACCCGAGTACCTGAAACCGTGCTAGGTTTCTTCGAACGTAGATAAAGGTTCCGAGTTTTCTAATCACTTATTTAGGTAGAATTTTCTGCACTACACGCACCACCTTTTCAAATAAACCTGATGACCGAACAGACCGCAGCGACATGCAACTCTCTAGCTTTTGGGCCAGATTCGATTGGCTTTATTTATTTTATGTTTCCCGGACGGTGTCAAGTTATCGATTCGCTCACTTCTTTTCCGTTGACTGAGCGCTTAATTTTCGGTCAACTTACGAACGTGCGATAAATGACAGTACTCGAAATTGAAAGTCCACGGAAACGCGAAAGTGGCATTAGGGTGTGGCGATGCAATGCACATGGGCGGATCTGGAAAAGTTGTTCTGTGGTTCATAGAACCAAAGTCGAGGCTTTTTTCTGTCCTCACTGTTAACTGCAAGTTAATCCTTACAACTGCTCTAATGCAGTTCAAAATTATTTAAAAGGGCACTATGAATTGTGAAGTAATAAAATTAAAATACAAGAGAAGCAATAAAAAGGAAATAACTAATCCTAACAGTTAAATTTAATATAAATTACGTTAAATGACTCATAATTTCGAACGGATTAAGTTTAATTAATCCCAATGGTCTCTCAACTGCAAATAATACATTTCTAGATCAATTAATTAATCTTAATTGAAAAGAATTTACCTTGTAGCGAAGTATTCCGAGAATGAGTTCGCACTGACTATAATTAAAAAATGATCCTAAACTGCACATTTATACTCATTCGGTGTCAACAATATTGCACCTTTTCTAACTGAAATCCAACCAAATTGCACTCCTTTTTTACTAAGTAAGTTACATTCCTACTCTATAATTAAAGGTTATTAACTGACAATCCGAGCGCTTTCCTTACAAGTTAAATATCAATTCCATAAGAACATAAACAATTGTAGCATCATAAGCGAATTCTGTTTATATCTCACGTTATAAATTAATAAAGCTTAAGAGTTTAAAATCGTAAGCCTCTGTTATTTCCATTTTAAACGTACAGTTAGGGTTAAAGATTCTTACCGTTTAATTACTAATAACAAATATCTATAAAGTGGATCACTTAGTACCTAAAAGTGAACTGACGTTTTGCATCGGTTTATAGCTCTGAATATGTTTGAGAAGGTGTTACAAATAATTGAGGAACTTGGCGGTCCCTGAGGGAAGACAAAGACAATTGAACTATTACTCTTTATTGATGATTATTTTATTGATATAGTCGGCAAGCTCGGGATTCTGCACGATGGTTGTGTGGGTCCCTTCAATGGTATGAACTCGAACGGGTTTCTCGCACAACTTCTGCAGTCTGTAGTCCTCGTCGTAGTTTACGAGGGCCGATTCACTCGGTTTGATTAGCGTCACCTCCGACTTAAGCTTCGGAAACTTCGCCTCGTAATTATATACAGCTTTCGTTTTCCCGCAGACGGCGATGGCCACCTGCTTTTGGTACTCTTTCGAGTACGGGATGATTTCGGGTGTCATTTCGAGTATGTACTCGACGCGTTCCTCCAACGTGCGTAGCTGGCGGACCGTTTCCTAAGAAAAAGCGATGAAAAGGTGCGTGAGCTGAGGCAAAGCTTACCCGGTGCGCTACTGTTGCATCCATGGCCGCGTATGAGGTGATCAGGTTAAACAGTATGGCGGTTTCCAAGGAGGCTTCGGGTTCGTGTTCCGTTGGAAACTGCAGCTTTATGAGTTTTTTTAACATTTCCGGCGCGCCGTCGATTAAAATCACTTTTCCGATCAGGCCACGAACTTCTAAGATGGAAGCGACCTCTAACGCGACAGCACATCCATACGAATACGCTACGAGGTTGAAATGATTTTCGACGTGGGGTATTAGCTAAAATCGGGTTTGTAGGGAGAAATTGTGGAAATAACTAACCTTTGGTAGTGATTTGGCGAAGGCTTCCAAGCGAAAGTCGCTTGCGTCGTTTGCGTACTGGACACATTCCACATGGGCCTTCAGATTGTTAGCCAAAGACGCCATGGTTTCGGCCACTCCTTCAATTCCCGGCAGAAAGATTGCCAATGGCGCCTCATCGTATCTTTTAACTAAACTTTCCAGTCGCTTTAATGGTATTTTGGATTCCTCTTCCGTGCGGAAGTGGGTGTAGAAGAGGTTAGCGCGTGCAGCGGGGGTTGGAGCCACGGGATCTGATGCTTCTTTGGATAAGCGCTCCTTTAATTTGGCGAAGGTGAGGGTTCGGATTTCTTTAGGACTTAGATAGACTTCACAGTCGCGTTCGAGGGTCTGCTTTATTTCAACCGTGGTCATGGAGTCCATGCCCATTTCGGATAAGGTGGCGTGCTCGCTGATCGTCTTCATATCGGTTATTCCTAAACAAAGCAGGGGAGTTAAAGGTGCTAGCTAAAGTAAAGGTACCCATTATGGTTTTTATCGCGCTGATGACACTTTCGGCGCCTTCGGCGACGCTCTTTTTTTCCGCCACCACCATACTTGCTACGATGGGCTCGTTTTGCAAGAGGAAGGTTTCCAGGGTGCTCAGACAGGATGCGACACGCTGTTGCAATGTGCCACTGATAACAATTTCTTTGTTCTGTTCTTGCATTTCCGCAACCAGGCCGACCTAAAATAGTACGTGAAGAATTCTGGACGGTGACGAAAGGCGCACCTCTCCGATCGCCCCCCACTGTATTGCCAAACCTGGGTAGCCCTCCCGTTTCCTCTTCTCGCAGATTCTTTCCATAATCGAGTTGGCCATGCCGTAAGTGGTCTGGCCTGTATTGCCTCTTCCGCACGAGACCGACGAGAATACGACGAAGTGCCTAAGGGGTGGGTAGTAGAGTATGAAGTATCGTTGGGGTAGCTTACTCTAGGCGCGGGCAGAGCTTTCGGCTTAGGGAGTCTAAGTGCTGTGTCGCACGGGCCTTCGGTGAGAGCGTATTCACGAAGTTCTCCTCCGTCTGGTTCTCGAAGAGGTCATCCCTAAGAACCACTGCCAAGTTGAAGATCGCCGCTACGGGCGCAAGCTTCTCCGAGCTCTCTAACAGTCGCGCGCAACCTTCTTCGATGGTGACGTCCTCTGTGGACACCCTTATGGTAGCCTCGTACATTTTCCAAGTTCTAAGGGAAGATGTTTGTGAAGGGTTAATCGCAATTGGTCTCACCTCAGCCTGGACGCAGCGTATCCATTTCGGACACCATTTCGAGAGACCAAAATCAACTTGCGCGCACCTCTTAGTATCAACCAATCAACCAGTTCCAGTCCAAATCCTCCCAAGCCTCCTAAAATGATGTACGTCATGCAAGGGTCGCAGGAGAATCTGGAATGGTCGGTCATTAGCGATCCTTTGAATAGAAACTGTACCTTGGGAGAGCCTTGAAGAGTTCGGGCGATTGCTGGTTTTCATCGCGAACCTTGACGACGACTTTTCCGACGTGTTTACCAGCCGACATGTAACGGTAGGCTTCTTCCACTTGGTTCATGTTGAAGTTGGTAAAGTTCAAGGGCTTAATCGGCCCTTGTTTCATGAACTTGCTCAGGATTTCTTGTACTTTGTGCTTTTGATTGTGGGGGCCTTTGAAGTACATATCCAACATGCAGCCGGCATACCTACGCCCTTCGCTAAGTGTAGAAAGTGCAAGTTTGTTGCTGTTGACCAAGTCGTATTTGCCTATCTCGACGAAGTATCCTTTCGGCGCAAGGCACTGAAGTGACGCTTTTAGTTTTTCCTCGGCCAGGGAGTTTAGAACCAAGTCGACCCCCCTTCCTTTCGTGTACTTTAAAACCATCTGCACGAAGGAGGTGTCGCGAGAGTTGCCGATGTGGCTAGCTACGGAACGAATGAGTTCTTTTATTGCAGCTTACGTGCTCACCTGGTATTTCAGGGAATGTTTCCATGATGAACTTCCTCTTCTCCTCGGTACCTACAGTCGTAAATATTTGGCACTTGTAGAACAAGGCTATGTAGATGGCGGCCTGCCCTACGCCTCCAGCACCGGAGTGTATCAGGAGGCTTTGTCCCGGTTTGAGGTGGGCGCTCTTAAATACGTGCTAGTAAACGATGGAAGAGCTACGCCGTTACTTACCACGAAGAAACTGCACAAGACCGTCGAGTAGGTAATCGGAACACTGACGGCCTGGGACATATTCCACTCACGCGGTATCCTCCAGATCAGATCACAGTCGGGGACAACGGAACTGGCCATAGCCCCACACTGTACAATTCCCATTATCCTCTCGCCCCTACAATTGCACACTACACCAGGTTTACTCACCAAGTGAATTTACCTTGCATCAATCCCAGCGTACTCAATACCTTGCGCTGTGGCTAAAGTAATCCGATCCTTTATGAACGCCTCCAAAGGAACACGACCGGAAGCCAACATAATATTCAGGAAGTTGATGGAACTGGCGTATACCTAGACAAGCCCTTAAGCAGCACATGGTGAAACCTTCGTACAAACCTTGACCGATCGTTCGAGTTCCTTAGTGTTCTCCTGCGTGACTAGCCCTTCGACCCAATTAAGCGTCGACACGACCCCCACGACGTTCTGGTTGCAGAAGACGTGCTGGCTTTCAACCTCTTTCAAGCGCTCCAGAGGCAGATGGCGATAGGTACCCCAAGCGCCGTGCTTCAACACGTTAATCGCCAAGTCTTTGCTTAGCTGTTCGCTGAAGAGTGGATCGGAGAGGTTAAATTTAACGTCCTCGTCCTGAACGAACACGCATTTCAAGTTCATCCCCCCAGGTTCTCGTCTTAGACAATTGAAGAATCCGAGCACGCCGCTTAAAGGCTCATTTTCAACCACCACCAACGTTTTGGTTTCATTTCGGATGGCACTCTGAAGTTTGGGCAACCAATCGTAAGTTGTTCCATCAAACTTGGCCATGATCACGTGCTCTTTGGCATAACCCACACCCTTCCTCAGCATGATCAGCGTTTCCGTTTCCGTTTTTACTTGCGCCAGAAGCACGAGGCCAGGGAAATTTGGAGCTAACTCGCCTCTCTCCCTTGAGATAATGATGCCGTTCTCCTTGAGGACACTTTGTGCCTCCCGAAGGAGTGCAAGTTTACCGGATCCCCCCTCCACTATTACTATCGCGCATTGTTTCTCGGAGGACAACGCCTTGTTGTGGACCTTCGAGTTTGGGACAGTCAGGTTCTGGTCACCCAAAATTGTAACTTCAGTCTTAACCAACGGCTGGTCGTTCAACGCCTCTTGCAGAATTGGAGATATCGCGTCAGTTTGCGCGACCTCTACGATCTTAACCTTCAAGGAGAGCGTGTTCTCAAGGAAGATCTGCACCAGGACGCGCACTGCAGAATGCATGGGCAGCTCAGTGTTCAACGGTACGAACTTGTGCGTCTCCAGGACCGGCTCGGCGGTCACCTTACGGCGCATGATTGGCGTGGCGTAAAGCTTCCGCAGCTCGATACCTCCACAGCTACTCCACTAATTATAATCACCGCGGAAGACTTTGCCTAACTCACCTGATGGCATCCGCGTCGCGGTGGTTGTACACAGGCAGTAGGGATGGGTTGCCCAACTCCTTAACATACTCGAAGTGCTTGATGGCGTCAATCTTCAACTGGCCGATGAACGTGGGGACGAACAGACTTCGCGTATCTTCCCCGAGAAGCTTCGTCTGCAACATATTATCGATGAATGCGATCCAGTTACGGTCCCATTCAATCCAGCTGATCAATCCGGAAATATGGCTTTTCTCTTGTGCGCGGAACGCTCCTCTAAAAGAGATACAATACAAACCATCACCTTCGCCAAGTCACTTACGAGTAGTTGTAACCTCTCAGACGTAGTTCTTTGTAGATATCTTTTGACGCAAACGAGATTCCTTCGTCGTCTTCAGGTGACAAGGCAAGGTCAATGAATTCGTCCGTGTCCGAGAGGGCGCGTATGCTTCCGGAAACGATCACTTCGTCGACGTCTCCGATCTAAAGTGTACAAAGTAGGAGGGTAGGTCAGGACTCTATTTACCTCAAATTTGTTGGTTTCTCGCCCGATGGTGACCTTGAATTTCATCTCCGATAATTTGGAAATGTGGACAGCTTTATGGAATCGGACGTTTTCAAAGTTCACTCGAGATCCGACTATTGGAATGTCCAAAACTTTACAATACGTCTCCCAGATCATGAATAGGTAACCAGTTGCGGGCATTATTGTCATACCTAAACACGTCTAACTTCAGACTTCAGGCCACGTAAAAAGGATGCGTCTTTAACGATTAATTACACAATATTATTGTTTACGTTTTATTACTTTTGATCGGATTTATGGCACAGTGGTAGAGCATTGGGTTATAAATCCGGAGGTCGGGTGTTCGAACCTGGGTTGAGGTGAATTTTTCATCTGTCGCGGAGATGGAAATTACCTTAGACCAGTTCCGAGCATTCTACCGGCTACTCCGAATTATGTTTTCCTGCAGTTTTTCTAATTCGTAAGGTAAATACCGGAGTAGTATAGACCAACTTAAGACCTTCTGCAGAGGCACCTCTAAATAGCATTATACGGGTCACTCTGTAATTGGGCGTATGCCTGTTGAGGGCCCAAAACAAGAGAGGGATAATAATTACTTGTCGAAAAGCCTTTTTGAAGCGATTGATAAATGGCTCCATCTATTGATGAAACTTCACGCAATTTTTCTGCGCATATTACAGCGCATTTTGTTTTCATTTTTTACTTTTTTTCCTTCGTAAACCGTACTGAAGTACACGTCGATTCAAAGAAAAGCTAAAGCATGGAATTATAATTGCCATCTTCTCTATTGTTCTCTGGCAATTGGATTCATAATTTGGGAATTCCGAAGCCCTGCGGCTTGGGAGGTTTTTCTTTTTGATTGTTTTCAGGTTTGGGTGCGAGAACTGAGCTCACTTGTTTTACTTGTACTTGGTCCTATACGTGCGAATTTTTGCCCAGAGTTGTTTTAAGATTCAGTAATTAGTTTAATCCATCATTATTGACTTGGGATTTATTCTTTTAGGGGGAAGTTATTTGGAACCAGTATTTCTGTACTGTTATTTACTCCTTCCAAAAGCAGTATCCCATGGAAGAAGCAGCCCGGGGAGGAAAAAAAGCTACTTGACTTACCATCAATGACGTGCCCTGGTAAGATGGACCAATCAATCTCCTTACTAACCAAAAGAATGACTTGACTGCCCTCGTGTTTCCTGCGAAGCTTTGTGAACCAATCCATCTCGTAGTTCCACTTAATTAGCGGCGAGATCATGGGCGTACCGTGACTCACCGGCCACTTGACCGGCGGGTACAGAGCTTCCACGTTGAGATTGTGGCCCAGCATGTAAAGACTGCAAGAGATCGCTGCAGGAGAAGATCGCACCGTTGTCGCTACTCACCTTCCCACCACATTCAGAAATGAGGTCACTGCATTTCTACCCGAAATGTTCAAGGTGCCGTATCCATTTAACCGCATCTGATCGGAACCGAGCACGACAGCGGCCAGCTGGGGATAGCGTCTCCGTTGCAACACGCGCGCCTCCAGAGGTTTCGGATTTAGGAGACTGTGAAGTATCCCTTCGGGATTGGGTATCAATTTTTGTAGCCGGCTCAATAGTGCCGAGCTTTTGGTACTTAAGGCGTAATCGAGACGCAGATCATCGCCCACCAGTCGAGAAATTTCGTACCCGATCGCGATTGCCTGTTCGAGATTGATCCGCCCGTTTGCGTAACCGGCGGATAACTCCCCGATGGACATCCCCGCCGTGTAGTCTAACGAGCAATTCAACTCCTTGAGCAGCTCGATGAAGGCGAGCTGAATGGATAAATTTGCGAGTACTAATTCTCGCCCGCTTTTACATTCGCCATTTCTGATTATCTTGGTCAGATGAACTTCGGGCGGTAGGAGTGAGGCGATTCTGTAAGAGGAAGGTGAGGCTTCTGCCCCATTGTTGTTGACTCACCTCTCTACGGCGGCGGAAAATGGTGAAAATTTGAAGAGTCCACTGCCGATGTCGAGGAGCTCCATGGTTGGTCCTGGAAGAAGCAGATATACGCGACTCTTACTGTCGAACCTTGTCGAGCTCCTCTTCAGCTCGCCGGCCTTGGAGTGGATGATGTACCCACGGTAAGGGTGCTCAAAGGTAGTACCCCTGCAACGACATTTGCAAATAGGCGTGGGAGAATGAAAAATGTCATTAACAACATGATATGATAACAACCCCAACGATTCGTTATTTTCAGAATTTTACACGGATTCGACAATTTCGATGCGATTTTGAAACAGTAGTCGTTTTCCATTGTACAGTCAAAACAGTCCGTCCGGAATCCGACGGTGGACGACATTTTCAGGAATTTGTAACTATACCAGCTATCATTTTTAATCTTAATCAATCTGAATTTATTTTTATTTGGATCCGTTTCAAATTACTAGAGAAATAAAAATTCTCTTTTGTTGGAGTGTTTTTACCGAACGGTACCAATACTTTCCATAAATGTATAAATGAAGCAGCGTCCGTATATGAAGCGGAGTAGGAGAGGCTTAGAAGACATAATGCCCCGCACACAGACGGTCGATAATTAGAAACTAAAAGTAATTTGAAATTTTTTTGGTTTTTAATTATCGACCGCTTGCGTGTGGGGCATAATGTCCAAACAAGCTTTGTAAACTTCTGCTTCGTTCAGGGATTTTGCTTTAATTGCGTCATGTGTGTTGGAATACATTTTTCCCATTATCAATCAATTAATAGTTTATTTATTCGAATCCTTTGTGTGACCCAGATTGAGTTTCCCTGTCATTATTTTCGCTCGAGTTGAGAAGATTTATGTATAGGACTTTTATTTTCTAGCAGATGCCAGATGTGTACAAGGGTAAAATTCTAAGATTCAATTTTGATTTGAATTGAGCTAGCTGGACAGGTGTGTTAAGGGTGGTGTAGTGACCGCACGCCATTTCCAACAACAGAATATATTGCTTTAAATCTTTCACCAAGAGAATTGAAGGGGGAATTGAGAATAGTACGTACTTGAATGCCTCTTGAAGTATCCTGCAATACTCAGCGTCCAGTTTACGTCCACCGATGTCATCAAAGATGGTTTTCAACCCCTCCGGCACGCGACTACTTGCGCATACGAGTCGCGGTAAGTCATCTTCGGGCGATCCTTCATTAACCTTTCGTTTCTCGAACCTCTTAAGGACAACGTGTGCATTCGATCCACCAAAGCCGAAGCAGTTAATCGCAACCACCCCCGATCCGTTCTCCGGCCACGGCATTTTGTCCAAAGGGACCACCACTCTGCCCTCGACCAAAGCCTTTATGGTTAACCGCGGATTCTCGTAGTGGATATTTGGCAAAAGGCAGTCGTTCTCCATTCCGAGCAAAACCTTGACCAGCGAGCACATTCCACTCCCGCCCTCCGCATGACCAAGGTAGGACTTGATGGAGCCGGCGATCAGTGGTCTGTCGCGGTTAGTGCAGAAGACTTGCTCCATCGCGGCCATTTCTTCGGGATCGCCGACCCTGGTCCCCGTGGCGTGCGCTTCGAGGAAGTCGATTACGGTGGGATCCAGTTGGCATTCCTCGTACGTGTCGTCTAGGAGGACCTTTTGCATTTCGCTCGACGGGAACGTTATCCCTTGCTCTTTGTAGCCGTCGCTGTTTGTTTTTGTGTGCAGCAACTGCAAGACAGAACTAGACCCAAGGCGACTAAGGGTGGTTGTTACCTGTGCATAAATTCGCCGAGCATCCTTAGCTCTCTGCAGAAAGACAACGGAAACGGTCTCGGAGCGTGTGTAACCATTCGCGTCTTCGTCAAACGGCCTGCACATCCCTTCCGGGCTCAGAACACCTAACCTAAACCAAAGCTGTTACAAGATCCTTTCACACTCTCGATCAACGTACCGAGCAAACTGCAACGATGTTACGGGATTTAGGCACAAGCTGACTCCGCCAACCAATGCGCTGTCGCATCTACCAGTCCGGATCGCCCGGTACGCGTCCTCCAAGGCGTAAAGTGAGCTGCTGCACGCCGAGTCAACAGTATGCGAAGGCCCTCGCAGATTGAGGTAGTGACTGATTCGTTGCGCAGTCATAGATCGAGAACCCCTAATGAAGGGGGATGCATCAGTTCATTTACTTCAAATCAAGTAGATAGAGTTTCAATTGAGAAATCGTAAAATTTTACTTATCAGTATTCGAATTTAATTGTTAACGCATCCAAATAGTGAGATACCTATACGTTTCTTGTTATCGCTGGCTATCGCCAGACACACTTTCGTTCACGTTCGCTATAAAGCGGTACGTGTGCACATTTTCCTATATTGAGCAAAATACAGATTCTAAAAAAATACTTTTTTAATTCTAAAGCGACCACTCGTTACACATTTGCTTTCTTCAAGAGCTTAACCGTTTGTATAAGTCTTTGAGGGTGTATAAGTTGTAAGGGTATTTAAGAATTTTATCAGTCTCTTAGAGTAACCACTGGTTAGTTTCTAATATTCTATGGATTACGTTTTAAAAATTTGGCTTTGAATTTGTATTTTGTCCAACATTTAACCAAATTTACACATATACCGCTTTCTAGCGAACATGGTTAAAAGTATGTCTGGAATAAGAGCGATAACAGCGTGGCCATTTTCGAAATAAAACGCTACCGGACTGTATGAGGCTTTAGGCAGACGAGGCGAGACTTTCAAAGAGTTAGCCCGCACGATTTATGTGTGAAAATTTTTATTTGGCCTAACTGCGAATTTATCGCGGTGAGATCTTTTTTTAAGTGTTTTCAAGCTTCGATTGTGTCGTTGGGAAATATTTAAACGAATTTGAACGTGTGGCAGAGTTCGAGATACTAACGAGCTTAATTTTACGCAAAAGAGAGAAAGTTAAAATGGACTGGCAGCTTGATTCGTTGCAAGATCGTTTATTTATGAGTGATAAAAGTTACTCGAAGGAACATTTTAGAATTGAGAAACCGGTTTTTTGAATAAAAAAAACGAGATTAAATATACTGACATTAAAAGTCATTTCATGAACCAATCCCTAACAGTAACGGTGGATAACGCGATAAAAGGAAATTCGATCGGTTTTGTATTTTTTCCATGAATCAAACCAATATTTCCCACCCAAGAAAGTGTAAAGAAAAATGGAAATTGATCGCCTTTGATTTTATTGCTATATTTCAATGAGCTAAGCTCACAGGTTTTGGAAGGAGCTAAGGGACAAACTTCAGCAAGGCAAAAGGTATAAAGCAATTTTATTACTGAGCCAGCCATTGGTTAAATAAAAAACAGCCCTTGTAAATGTAACTAAGTCACTAGAAGACCAATAAAAGCTCCCATATCTTTGAGGGATTTTTGTGATACATTTTAGGGACGATTAAATGCCCTTTAGAGCTAACACCGGTGAAGTGCGGCGCGTCCCCGGGTGGCGAATAGGGGGACGCCCACACAGACAGCCGATTGATTGTAAAGTGAGTTTTGGTGTGAGTCAATTCCAGACTCGTAGCGAAGAAGATCGTCGCCGAACCCTGGGCAAGTCTCTGTGGTGGGGCTAAGGGTGGTCATTGTTCTGGGGTCGCACCCGGAGGTGGACATCCTGGGATATGGCAGGGTTCCGCTAGAATCTACAGGGTGCCATTGTGACCGAATGCGAAGACCAGTGGAACTTGGACTGATTGGAGAGGACCGTTCCTTTTATTAGGCACTGGGATGGAGTGACCAAGGTGATGGCTGTATTATACTCCCTTTCGGATGACTCGGCCAACATCTTGCAGCGCCTCCAGAGGTAAAATCCTGGCTGTCAGGCACTCCAGTGATAGAACTTTCAAGCGCACTCGGGGGTCTCGCACGTCACATTTATGACGAAAGCGAGTGCTCCGGTGCAGGGCAACCTGGAGGAGTCAGCTGGGCCAGGTACAGAGACTCGCCTGTCTGGAAGTCACCGGAGTCATGAAAACCACGCCAACTTCTGGTAGTAGAGCATTTACACTTAGTCGTGTATGGAGAGGACTGGAAACGGCTAAACGATTGAGATGAGTGGAAGGATCGAGACATCCTTGGGCATGGGCGGATCTAGGAGGAAACCCTCACATTCGAGCTGAAGTCAGCTTCTCCTTCGGTCAGATTAGCACCGTGTTTCAGAAAAATGGAAGGAAGAGGAAACACAGATGAGCTTCAGAAAAAGGAGGGGAACGATCGACTGCATAATATGTGGATCACGCAGATTGAGGGAAAAGGATTTGGAAAAAAGGGGCGGAAAGGAGTTCGCGGGTTTCATGGACATGAAGGCAGCGTTTTACAGAGGGGAAAGGGAAAAATATGAAAGATGATGGAAGATGGGAAAATAGTTGCAGACAAAATCAAGGAACTAGATGGAGAAACCAGATTGGGAATAAGAATAGAAGGGAAGGAGTCCGAAGTGTTTTGGACATGTAAAGGTTTAAGATAGGGCCATGGTGGAGGGATCGTGGTGGGAAGTAGAGAGATACAGTCCGTGGCACACGCGAATGACGCAGTGACCATGGCAACAGAGGTAGAACAGATGAAGGAAATGAATGGAAAGAATGGAAAGGTATTGAGAAAGGAAAGGAATGGAGTTAAATATAACAAAGTCGAAGATGATGAGATTTTGGTAGGAGGGTGGAGGAGAGAAAAGGGAGAAATGAAAGGGGGGGGGGCGTATAGAAATATTTGGGGTATCAACCAAGAAACCATATATCAAATACGTAGATAAGTGACCGTAGAGCCAGAGTGTGCCTATTCGATGAAATGGTGAGAAGGGTGCTCCTGTACGGAACTGATTAAAACGTAGCCCCTGCTGATGGGGACGATTTATCTCGAGGACCCCAAATGAAACTTATACAAGGCGTTTTCATTAGAATGTACAAGCACATTAATGGAAATGATCACATACCCTGTCAGGCCAAAGTTTGGACTGACGTTCGTCTTCATAATCACCACCTCCTCGGTTTCCGAAAAGCAGCACCCCATGAAGACACCACATCTTGCACCGTTCATCTCGTTCAAGTTGTAACCGGCATCGACGATCGCCTCGTACGCCTTCTCCAAGGAAATCCTGACCATGGGATCCATCTGGTTGGCTTCGAATTGATGCAAACCTGCAACCCTCGCGATGAGACTTACACCCAGTCACGAGTCGATTCCATACCAAATTGACCAGCGTCCAGCTTCTCCAGATGATTAATTTGACCAATACGATGGGGTATCTCAGGGTTGGTCGGTAACCAGCGCCGATTATCATTGGTGACCATATCAACTTTGTTGAAGATGTTGCTCCTGTACTGGTACACGTCGTCCGAGTTGGGAAAACGTCCAGACATCCCTTTTCGTTAAACACCATCAGCCCGATCACCATCTCGCCTCACTTACCTGTAATGACGACCTCCTCGCCTTCCAAGGGATGGGCGAGCGCGACTCCTCCGTTTTTTTCCACAACCATTTTCAGCACAATTGATAAGGGACAACTAAATCGAACGATCCGGAACCCGCCTTTTAAATACAAAGCAAGAACATTATGCAATTCTCTCTCCCCCTCGCGAAGACAAAGCTCTTCCTGAAACTTTGAGTTTGATGTCCAATGATGGAGTAGGGGTTAAGCTATGCGATAGCAGGTCAAATCTAATTTGGATGTTTGCAACAAACAATGCTTGAATTTCTAATCAGGTCATAATTATTCATTGTTCAATATTTCAATTGAAGTCGTTTACCGATTATGCAAATTCGACCTTATCGTCACAATAATTCATTAAACTGGACTACGAAGGAATACAGAAAATACCAAAAATCGACTACCCCAAAACACTGGATTCCTTCACTTTCACACAAAATGCTCTTAGTTCCATTTTAAAGTTACCTCTCTTCGTCGATTAAACTTACGACCCTGATTTGACCCCTAAAAAAACGGTCAAGCCTTATTTGCCCTAGGGGTTATCGCTCTAAAGTATCTTGAACCTGTCTGACGTTTGTCTATGAGTGTCCTCAGGGCTTTAAATTAATTGAAATTAAACTTTATTTTTGGAGTTATCTTTTTAATACTCGTAATTTAACTGGATCTGGATTGTCTTGCGGAAGTTCTTGATCTTTGGATTTTTTGCTTGCAGTGTGCGAATCATGCATTTGTCTTTATGGAATTTTATAGCAATTTTTACAAAACCTCACTTATTTCCAGGAAGCACTAGAATCCCACAGGAATTCATTCAGTTTGGAATCGTTGAGTAGTTTTTGGTAATTTCCCAAAATTGCTATTCTCGTGTTCTTAGAAATTATCGCTATTTTATACATTTTTGAAAAAAATGTTTGATCTTTGAGGCATAAGAATATTCTGGGATGTCATCTAAGAAGCCCACGAGGATATGATGATAAGCGGTCTAATTACATAAGACGTTCTTAGGATCTCGCCCGGGTACCTCCAACGCCTGAACGTGGGTGCTTGTGCTGGTGAAGGACTTCGCCAGGTGATTTTCTAGCATATCCGCCTGGTTAGCCTACCCAGAGGGGCGAGTGGTGACTTGAGTAATATGTAAATTCCTATACGTAAAAAGTTTCATTTCACAGAGAGTTGCAGATGCATTAAATATTCGCCTGTGAACAGTGACATTTTTTTTTGATTCAGAGATCCAATCGACAAAATACGAGACGTTTTGGAACAGCCCCTCGAATTTGAATCTATTTCACAAATTTTAAATCGCGTAAACCTCCAGAAAGTCCCAAAAAACAAGGCAATGTAAGAAACCCGTTAGCGATGTTGATAGTTTCACACAAGTAGCGATTAGGAACTCCATCTTATTGGTATCTCGGAAGGCATATCTACGACGCACCGTTCTCGAGATATTACGGTTTGAAGTTTCGACCACAAATTCTGACAGCGCCAATCGATTGCGCTGGCCGAGACCTTTCCAACGAGGGGTCGGAAGTATCTATGATCGTTACTTTGAGTAGCTTTTCGGCAGGTTGCTTGCCGCTAGTGCGCGGTGCTCCAGCCTTTGGTTGGGGCTGTGGTTTGCCCATCTTCGGCCGTATCCGCCTACCTTCCAAGAACACTGGGACGCTGGTGCACTCATCTCCTGAGGCGAACGTCGGTAACTTTGGCAGACGATTCCAGGTATTCTGGTGAAAGGTCGATCCTAGGTCTTGGACTCGTCGTCGCCAAGATAGGGGGAATCCACATTCGAGCGCTGAATGTTTTACTGAAAGGGGGTGGGGCGGGGGGGAGTACATGGGCACCACTCGTCCCCCTACGGTAGGGACATTAGCCCTCGTAAAGTGGGGCGTGCTTTGCCGTAGCCCTGACCGTATCCGATAGACCTAAGGAACATCATAGCCGAGTTTTGGCGTAGGACGGGCACGGAAAAGTAACCATTGGGGCTCTACTGGCGACTAATCCAGATCCTTCCGTCAGATGAGATTAGAGACCGATTACGAAACTATGTCCATTACGAGTCAACAAAAGGGAAGACGCAGAGTCCTGTTTCCAGTGAGGGCATAGGAATTCCAAAAGTAGGCTTTAAGCAAGTTTCGAAGCGCTATTCATATAAGAGACCACATACAAAACGTACAAATGTGTTAATTTCTTGAACATGTCTACCGAGAACGTAATTGCCCATGTGACGAATCTTTTCCTGTGCATCAATTGCTCTAACTCCAATCACACAGCAAAAGATTGCTCAAGTCGGAATTGCCAGTTCGACTAGAGGAAACTCCTTACTATATAAGTCAGAATCTGCTTCGGAATCACCAGTAGCGGAGTATCCAGGAACGGGTGCAGGCACTGTTCCCTCTGAGAGAAAGTATTGACCGGCATATGGCAGTAGATGATCAAGACAACCAAAGGAAGATCGAAGAAGAGGAGACAGCCAAAAAATGCCCAAGAAGAAAGCTCCAGGGCCGGACGGACTCCCTGCGGAATTCGTGGCACTGGTGGCAAAGACAGCCTCCGGATTTTCTCTTACATTCTTACACAACAATGAAAGGTTTCTAACTGACAATCCGAGCGCTTTCGTTACAAGTTAAATATCAATTCCATAAGAACATAAGCAATTATTGTAGCCTCATAACCGAATTCTGTTTATGTCTCACGTTTTAAATTAATAAAGCTTAAGGGTTTAAAATCGTAGGCCTCTGTTTTGTTAAAAAAAAAAATTAACAAGTATCTATAAAAGTGGATCACTTCAGTACTTAAAAGGGAAGTGACGTTTTGCATTGGTTCATAGCTATGAATATGTGTGAGTAGGTATTACAAATAATTGAGGAATTTGGTGGTCCCTGAGGGAAGACAAAGACAATTGTATCATTACTCTTTATTGATGATTATTTTATTGATATAGTCGGCAAGCTCGGGATTCTGCACGATGGTTGTGTGGTTCCCTTCGACCGTATGAACTCGAACAGGTTTCTCGCACAACTTCTGCAGTCCGTAGTCCTCGTCGTAGTTAACGAAGGGCGATTCGTTCGGCTTGATTAGCGTCACGTCCGACTTCAGCTTTGGAAACTTCGCCTCGTAATTGTAGAGAGCTTCCGTTTTCCTGCAGACGGCGATGCCCACCTGCCTTTGGTACTCTTTCGAATGCGGAATTCCTTCGGGTATCGCTTCCAGTAGGTACTCGACGCGTTCTTCCAATGTGCGCAACTGGCGGACGGTTTCCTAGGACAAGTTCGATAAATTGGTGCGTGGGCTGAGGAAAAGCTTACCCGGAGCTCTACTGTTGCCTTCATGGGCGCGTATGAGGTGATCAGGTTAAACAGTATGGCGGTCTCCAAGAAGGCCTCAGGCTCGTGTTCCGGTGCGTACTGCAGCTTTATGAGTTTCTTTAACATCTCCGGCGCGCCGTCGATTAAAACCACTTTTCCGATCAATCCACGGACTTCTAAGATGGAAGCGAGCTCTAACGCGACCACACAACCATACGAATATGCTACGAGGTTGAAGTGATTTTCGACGTGGGGTATTAGCTAAAATCCGATTTTTAAGGAGAAATTGTGGAAATAATTACCTTCTGTAGTGATTTAGCGAGAGCATCAAAGCGGAAGTCGCTGACGTTGGTTGCATATTGAACGCACTCCACATGCGAGTTCAGTTTTTTAGCCAAGAACTCCATGGTTTCACCTACTCCTTCAATTCCCGGCAGAAAGATGGCCAATGGCGCCTGATCCTCTTTCTTAACTAAGCTTTCCAGTTGCCTTAATGGCATTTTTGAATCTTCCTCTGTGCGGAAGTGGACGAAGAAGACGTTACTGCGGGGCTGGAGGCGTGGAGCTACCGGATCGGATGCTTCTTTGGATAACTTCTCCTTTAGTTTGGCGAAGGTGAGGGTTCGGATTTCTTTCGGGCTTAGGAAGACTTCACAGTCGCGTTCGAGGGTCTGCTTTATTTCAACCGCGGTCATGGAGTCCATACCCATTTCGGATAAGGTGGCGTGCTCGCTGATCGTCGTCATATCGGTTATTCCTAAACGAAGCAGGGGAGTTGAAGGTGCTAGTTGAAGTAAACGTACCCATGATGCCTTTGATAGCGCTGATGACGCTTTCGGCACCTTCGGCGACGCTCTTTTTTTCCGCCACTACCATACTTGCTACGATGGGCTCGTTTTGCAGGAGGAAAGTTTCCAAGGTGCTCAGACAGGATGCGACACGCTGTTGCAATGTGCCACTGATAACAATCTCTTTGTGCTGCTCCTGCATTTCCGCAACCAGGCCGACCTAAAATAGTACGTGAAGAATTCTGGACGATGGCGAAAGACGCACCTCTCCGATTGCCCCCCACTGTATTGCCAAACCTGGGTAGCCCTCCCGTTTCCTTTTCTCGCATATCCTTTCCATGATGGAGTTGGCCATGCCGTAAGTGGTTTGACCTGCATTTCCTCTTCCGCACGACACCGACGAGAACACAACGAAGTGCCTAAGGGGCGGTTAGTACAGTGCGAAGCACCGGGTTGGGGTAGCTTACTGTAGGCGGGGGCAGAGCTGCCGACTTAGGATATCTAGGTGCTGCGTCGCCCGGGCCTTCGGCGAGAGTGCATTCACGAAGTTCTCTTCCGTCTGGTTCTCGAAGAGGTCGTCCCGAAGAACCACCGCCAAATTGAAGATCGCGGCTACGGGCGCAAGCTTCTCCGAGCTCTCCAACAGCCGCGCGCAACCTTCTTCGGTGGTGACGTCATCTGTGGCCACCCTTATGGTGGCCTCGTAAGTTTTCCAAGTTCTAAGGGAAAATGTTTATGAAGAGCTTATCGCAGTTGAACTCACCTAAGCCTGGACGCAGCGTAGCCATTTCGGACACCATTTCGAGAGACCAAAACCAACTTGCGGGCCCCTCTTAGTATCAACCAATCAACCAGTTCCAATCCAAAGCCTCCCAAGCCTCCTAAAATGATATACGTCATGCAAGGATCGCAGGAGAATCTGGAACGGTCGGTCATTAGCGATCCTTTGAATAGAAACCGTACCTTGGGAGAGCCTTGAATAGTTTGGGCGATTGTTGGTTTTCATCGCGTACTTTGATGACGACCTTTCCTACGTGTTTGCCTGCCGCCATGAAACGGTAAGCTTCTTCCGCTTGGTCCATGTTGAAGGTGGCAAGGAACAAAGGCTTAACCGCTCCTTGTTTCAGGAATTTACTCAGAATTTGTTGCAGTTTGTGCTTTTGATTGTGGCAGTCCCCGAGGTACATATCCAACATGCATCCGGCATACCTACGTCCTTCGCTTAGTACAGATAGTGCAAGTGTGTTACTGTTGACCAAGTCGTATTTGCCTATCTCGACGAAGTATCCTTTCGGCGCAAGGCACTGAAGTGACGCTTTGAGCTTTTCCTCGGCTAAGGAATTTAAAACCAAGTCAACTCCCCTTCCTCTCGTGTGCTTTAAAACCATCTGGACGAAAGAGGTGTCGCGAGAGTTGCCAATGTGGTTAGCTACGGACCGAATGAGTTCGTGTGGATTAGCTTACTTGCCCACCTGGTATCTCTGGGAATGTTTCCATGATGAATTTCCTCTTCTCCTCGGTACCAACCGTCGTAAATATTTGGCACTTGTAGAACAAGGCTATGTAGATGGCGGCCTGCCCTACGCCCCCAGCACCGGAGTGAATCAGAAGACTTTGTCCCGGTTTGAGATGGGCGCTCTTAAATACGTCTTACTAAACGACGAAAGGCCTACGCAGACACTTACCACGAAGAAACTGCACAGCACCGTCGAGTAGGTAATCGGAATACTGACGCCTTGGTCCATAGTCCACTCACACGGTATCCTCCACATTATTTCACCATCGGGGACAACGTAACTGGCCATTGCCCCATACTGAATTCCCATTACCCTCTCGCCCCTACAATTGCACGCTACACCAGGTCTACTCAGTAATGTAATTTACCTCGCATCAATCCCAGCGTACTCAATACCTTGCGCTGAAGTTGAAATAAGTCGATCCTTTGTGTACGCCTCCGAAGGAACACGACCGGAAGCCAACATAATATTCATGAAGTTGATGGAACTGGCGTATACCTAAGCAGGCCGTTAGACCACCACCTGGTGAAACCTTTGTACAAACCTTGATTGATCGTTCGGGATCCTTGGAGGGTAGCCCTTCGACCCAACTGAGCGTCGACAAGTTTCCAACGACGTTCTGGTTGCAGAAGACGTGCTGGGTTTCAACCTCCGTCACGCGCTCCAGCGGCAGATGGCGATAGCTACCCCAAACGTCTTGGTTCAACACGTTAATAGCTAGGTCTTTGTCCAACTGTTCGCGGAAGAGTGGATCGGAGAGGTTAAATTTAATGTTTCCATTCTGAACAAAGACGCATTTCACGTTCGTTCCCCCAGGTTCGCGTCTTAGACAATTGACAAAGCCGAGCACGCCGCTTAGGGGCTGATTTTCAACAACCACCAAAGTTTTGGTTTCATTTCGCATGGCACTCTGAAGATTGGGCAACCAGTCGTAAGTTGTACCATCAAACTTGGCCATGATCACATGCTCTTTGGGGTAGCTCACAACCTTCCTCAGCAACACCAGCGTATCCGTTTCAGTTTTAACTTGCGCCAGAAGCGCGAGGCCAGGGAAATTTGCAGTGAACTCACCTCTTTCCCTGGAGATAATAATGCCGTTCTCCTTGAGAACGCCTTCAGCCTCCTTGAGTAGTTCAAGGTTACCCGATGCCTCCTCTGCAATGACTATCGCGCACTGTTTCTCGGTGGACAACGCCTTGTTGTGGACCTTCATGTTTGGAACACTCAAGTTTTCGTCGCCCAAAATTATAACTTCAGTTTTTACCAGCGGCTGATCATTCAAAGCCTCTTGCAGAATTGGAGCAATTGCGTCAGTTTGCGCGACCTCCACGATTTTAACCTTCAGCGAGAGTGAGTTCTCCAGGAAGATCTGCACCAGGACGCGCACCGCAGATTGCATGGGCAGCTCGGTGTTAAACGGTACGAACTTGTGCGTCTCCAGGACCGGCTCGGCGGTCACCTTACGGCGCAGAATTGACGTTGCGTAAAGCTTCCGCAGCTCGATACCTCCACAGCTACTCCACTAATTAGAATCACCGCGGAAGAGTCTGCCTAACTCACCTGATGGCATCAGCCTCGCGATGGTTGTAAACAGGCAGTAGAGATGGGTTGTCCAATTCCTTGACGTACTCGAAGTGCTTCATGGCGTCAATCTTCAACTGTCCAATGAACGTGGGGACGTACAGACTTCGCGTATCTTCCCCGAGAAGCTTCGTCTGCAGCATGTTATCGATGAATGCGATCCAGTTACGTTCCCATTTAATCCAGCTTATCAATCCGGATATATGGGCTTTTTCCTGCGAGCGAAACGCTCCCCTAGAAGAATTCAATACAAACCATCACCTTTGCCAAGTCACTTACGAGTAGTTGTAACCCCGCAGACGTAACTCTTTGTAAATATCTTTGGACGCGAAAGAGATTCCTTCGTCATCTTCCGGTGACAAGGCAAGATCAATGAATTCATCCGTTTCTGAGAGAGTGCGTATGCTTCCGGAAACGATCACTTCGTCGACGTCTCCGATCTAAAGTGTACTAAGTAGGAGGGTTGGCCCAGACTATATTTACCTCAAATCTGTTCGTTCCTCGTCCGATGGTGATCTTGAATTCCATCTCCGATATTTTGGAAATGTGGACAGCTTTGTGGAATCGCACGTTGTCGAAGCGCACCCGAGAACCGGCTATTGGAACGTCCACAATTTTACAGTACGTCTCCCAGACCATGAAGAGGTACCCGGTTGCGGGCATTATCGTCATACCTAAATACGTGCAAGTTCAGACTGGGTTTGGATCAATGGTGCTGATTAAGAATCCCAATGAGCTAGAGGAATGAAGAGTAGTAGTCGACACGTGAAGATGTGCCAAGACATAAAACAACGAGAGTACACCCATCCTGGATCACTTTGACTTTCAATTCTGCGCATGCGCCAACTCCAAATTTGAAACTACTGCGCATGCACCAAGTGACTTTAAACTCATCTTGGTTGTAGTCTAAACTACTATTGAAACAATTATCCTTGCAACATTAATCTGGACAGCCTCTGGAAATGGCAAAACCTTGTAGATCGGTCCAAACGCTTAACCTTAACCATTTGGAAAATGTTGGAGTACAATATTAACGGTCATCTCTATAAGAAGACAAGGGGCTCTAGTGAATACCTTCACCAAAGAAGCATCCTATGGATCAAGCGACTCGGGGAGGACTTGACTTACCATCAATGACGTGGCCTGGTAAGATGGACCAGTCAATCGTCTTGTTGACCAAAGGAATAACTTGGGCGCCCGTGTGCAAGACTGTCTTCGTGTGAAGTTTTGTAAACCAATCTAAGTCGTAGTTCCATTTAATGAGCGGCGAGATCATGGGCGTTCCACGACCAACCGGCCACTTGACTGGCGGGTACAGAGCTTCCACGTTGAGATTGTGCCCGAGCTTGTAAAGACTGCAAGAGATTTCTGTAGGAGAAGAGCGCGCCCTCGTCGCTACTCACCCTCCCACCACATCCAGAAATGAGGTCACGGCATCCGAGCCGGAAATGTGCAAGGAAGCGAAACCGTTCAGCCGAATCCGATCGGAACCGAGCACGACCACTGCCAGTTCGGGATAATGGCTCTGCTGCCACTCGCGCGCTTCCAAAGGTTTCGGATTTAGTAGACTGTGAAGCATCACTTCCGGACTGGGTATCACTTTTTGTAGCCGGCTCAACAGCAGCGAGCTTTTGGTACTTAAAGCGTACTCGAGACGCAGATCATCGCCCACCAGTCGAGAAATTTCGTACCCGACCGCGATTGCCTGTTCGAGATTGATCCGCCCGTTTGCATAACCGGCGGATAACTCCCCAATGGACATCCCCGCCGTGTAGTCTAACGATAAATTCAGCTCCTTGAACAGCTCGATGAAGGCGAGCTGAATGGCTAAATTCGCGAGTACTAATTCTCGCCCGCAATTGCATTCGCAATTTTTTATTATCTTGGTTAGATGAACCTCAGGTGGTAGAAGCGAGGCGATTCTGTAAGGTGAGGATAAGGTTTGCGGCCCTGGAGTTGTCAACTCACCTCTCTACGGCCGCGGAAAACGCTGAAAATCTGAACAGTCCACTGCCGATCTCGAGGAGCTCCATGGTTGGTCCTGGAAGGAGCAGACATACGCGTCTCTTGCTGTCGAACCTCGTCGAGCTCCGCTTTAGCTCGCCAGCCTTGGAGTGGATTATGTAGCCACGGTAAGGGTGGTCAGTGGTGGTACCCCTGCAACAAGCATATATTGTATAGGCGCAGTCTAGGGTAAAAACCAAAGAAGAAGTATTAAGTCCAAAAGGCTTTTCGATTATTTCCCATCAAGTTTATTGGTATTTTGTATCATGATGGAGTTTCAGGACACA